CTCTCTCTCTCTCTCCAGCTACAATTACACACATGCTCGAAATTTCACACCATTTTCAAAGTGGAACAGCTTTGAACGCCGCCGCCGCCGACGACGACGACGAGGACGCGGAGCAGCCGCTGTCTTTTCTTTCGCCAGCGTTCCTCTCGGCTCTGCCGACGCGAAACAGGTTCGGTCCGTTCGGACCGGGTGGACCCGACGCGGCGGCGGGGCCCTGGCGCGGCCCTGGTGGGGCCGTGCGGAGCCCCTCTGCATGTGCCCTCCCCGCCGTGGTTGTTTTTCTCGTCGGTCCCGTCCGGCCCCGGCTTTGCACCGCGCCCCGCCCCGGCTCCGCTCGGCTCCGCGCCACGCCACGCTACGCCACGCCACCGCCCAAAGCAGGCCCGGGCTTCGGCGGGGCCGCGAGCCCCGCGCCGGCCGCGCCTTCCAGGAAGGGACGCGCGGCGGGAACAGCGGGCGGGGCGGGGCCTCCAAACCTCCCGAACTCTCCGAAGAAGAAGAAGGAGCAAAGAGGGGCTGCGTCCCGCTCCGCCCCGCGATCCCCCGCCCCCGCTTTCCGCACACGGCCCAAACCCGGGCCGGCCGGCCAGCAGGCAGGCAGGCAGGCAGGTCGGTGTGAGGGATGACGGGGCAGCATGGCCGCCAGGGCGCAGCGCTGCCGCACAGCGGGGGCGTCTCGACTCGCCCTCCGACCGCCACGCCCCGCCACGCCGCACCGCGCCTCTGCCACGTCGCGCCCGCGCTATCGACGTCCCATCGCAACGGCGCGGCAGCAGCAGCGGCGGGGCCCGGCACGGCCCGGCTCTCGGCCCGGCAGCCCCAGGGGGCCTGCTCAATGAATGCCAGCCGTCCTCGCTGGAGGCTCCAGCTCTCCGCCAGGCTCGAGAAGAGCCAGCAACGCCGGACCGAAACCCTTCGGAGGCACACACACACACAGTCGCGGAGAGCCCGGCGGGTTGCCTAACCAAGCACGCCCCCGGCCCGGGCGGGGCGCGCGCTGCCGTGTCCATCAGGCATTCTGCAGGGGCCACGCCCACTCCAGTAGTCTGTCACGACACCGGGGGAGGGGGCTGGAGGGACATGTGACCGCGGCCCTGCAGCGGCCCTGCAGCGGCCCTGCGCCAGGGGCCCACGGCAGGCGATGCATCGATAATCAGTGCCCAGGCCCGGGCAGGAGGGCCCCGGTGGCGGCGGTGACCTGGCGGTGACGCTGACCACGGCGGAGGCGGAGCGCAGCCACGGCACGGCCCTCCCTCGACCGTCACCGCCTCGCACGCGTCAGCTCGCCCTCAATAGTTGATCGGCGCCCTGCTCTAATTGGCGGAGAAACGGGCCTCCCTCGCCCTTCCTCGTCCAGGCTGTGATGGTCCTACACGTAGCAGCCGCAGCCGCAGCAGCATGCGCGGCGCGGAGGGGATTTTCGTTTTTATTTTATTATTTGTCGCTGCCGCCGCCGCCGGCGCTGCAGCAGCGCGATTAGTCCGCTAATGACCCTGACGGGACCGCCATATCAAACCGCTGTGGTAAATTATGGACCTCTATCTCGCCGAGACCATCAGTCACTTAGGAGGAGGACGTTTTACTCCCGCAGCGCCGCCAGCCGCGCCAGCCGCGCCGGCCGCGCCGGCCGCGACGGCCGCGCCAGGAATTTCATTACAGATTTTCCGAGCTCACGTAGGGTCGGGCCTGGTCCGCGGTCTGGGCCCGGCGCCCGGGGCGTAGCATGGCGCCGACGGCCAGCCTGTCGCGCTCCTCGCGTCCATGACGAGAGCGTCACCTTCGACGGCAGCTTCCTT